ACATACAGGCTGGGAGAGCTGGCATGGTGCCATAGTCAGCACTGGAGGTGTTGAACTTCAGAACTAAAGATGGCAAACTTTCTGGAACTCTGTGCAGAAGGAAGTAATAAGCAAAAACATATGAAATGCTTTGTTAAGGCTGTTTATTGCTAGCTAACATAATAAAGTGGCAAACTAGAGTAGTTTCAGTTGTTCACAAGAGGTTAATGTCCTGGTGCAATTCAGTGGAGGAAGTTTTTCTGTCAATAATGGTAAAATCAGAACCTAGAAAGAAGAAGTAAAACTACAGTACAGTCCTAAATGGAGAGTCAGCTTTTTATTGAGACCTTGGGTAAAATTTATTCGCAGGCTCAGGCTGGTTTCCCACAGGTTGGCCACTGCAAGAACAGGATAAGGGAGTAGATGGGTAAATGGTCTGATCCAGGAAGTTACTCATGAATTGGAAAAAAGGATGGCCATTCTGGGAGGAGGGCTGTGGGGAAAGGTCAAAATGTTTGCCTATTCAGAATGAGGGCAAGAAGCACTGCCCGTACTGAGGTGTCATCACATAGGTGCCCTGAGCAATATTGCTATTGTGGAACAGCAGAATATACATTTATTCTTCATATATATATATATATATATATATATATATATATATATATGCAGGTTTTGGTGTCCTCGGGTGTCTTCCCGTGTAAAAGTTGGGGTGTCTAGGCTTTTACACGGGAAGACACCCGAGGACACCAAAACCTGCATTCCTGTACCCGTGAAAATCTACGAAAGCATATATATATATATATATATATGTACCTCGGGTTACATACGCTTCAGGTTACAGACTCTGCTAACCCAGAAATAGTACCTCGGGTTAAGAACTTTGCTTCAGGATGAGAACAGAAATCGTGATCCAGTGGCGCGACGGCAGTGGGAGGCCCCATTAGCTAAAGTGGTGCTTCAGATTAAGAACAGTTTCAGGTTAAGTACGGACCTCCGGAACGAATTAAGTACTTAACCCGAGGTACCACTGTAATGGTATTGTCGTGTTGTAGTTCACATGGCTGCAAATAAGCAGCCACACCAACTACAGCATGGTAACAGAACAGTTGGCAGACAGGCAGAGGAGTGAGCAAGCTTCGTAGGTGGAAAGCAGCCCGGGAGAGCTGTTTAATGGAAGAAAGAGATGTTTCAAAGAGCAGTTCTGCAAACTGCTCTGTAGAACACTTCTGCTGCTCAGTTAAATGCAGCTGCATCAAGGTTTGCATCTTTTGTTCCATTTGCTTTTTACAACTATGTAGAACTTTCCCATTTCCCCTCCCCCTCCATTCTTTAGGAGAATTCATGGGATCCTGTGGGCCCACGGGAGTGCAGGAACAAGACATTTAAGACAATAGGCAGGCCTGGATTGAACAGGAAGCAACCAAGGAGTGGGCCTTGGGATGCGCCACCTAAGTCATCCACTTACTTGCTCCAACAAATAGAGCACAGTAAATAGTTTTCATTTATATGTTAAGCTGGCAGTACTGAACTGTTTCCAGGATTGCATTAACATTTTGGTTTTTTGACCTCCCGTAAAAAATAAGGTGATTGTAATATTGATACCCCCTAAGTCACTAAACACGAAACTTTTAAGTATCAAACTTACGTTATTAGCAACAAAAGGGGGAACAGAATGCTTTAAGTAACATGTCTTACATCTTCTGCATTGACTCAATTTTTCACTAATCTTCTAGAATGTTCTGAACCTTTGTAGAATCGTGTGGAGATGTCCAGACTTCCTTCGTCCTTCCATTTTTCTCTAGCCTCCTAGAACGTTCTCAGCCAGATTTTCTTGTGCAATTGTAAAAGGCTATTTATATCATTCTTAACAAATGGAGGAGAAGGTCTGAAGATGCTTCTCCCCAGAGGTGACATTTGGTCTTCGATCAGCCATGACAATAGTACTTAAGATAGCCATAGAGGACGACTAGGGCTTGAAGGTTAAATGCATAGGTCTTTTCCTTTGACCACACAACCCCTCCCTCTCCCCCCCAATCTACTCTGGTGGCTGAGATATTAGTACAGAATGAAGAACCTCTGTGCACATGACATCAGCCAATGGGCCAGATTCAAGGATTTACCCCTCCACTTGTAGGCTGAGGAATAAACAGTCAAAGCAAGCAGCTCCATTCCCCCCCCTTGGCAAAGCACTTGCTTTTTCCCTTTCCCGTCAAGTGATGGAGAGTGGAGGAGAAAAGCTGCCTTTCAGAAGCACTGGCTGCACAAGGTACTTCTCCAAAAAAACCAGAGGCTCAAACAAGGAAAGGGCTTTCAGACAGCCTACTTGCCCTTGCTCCTGTTTGAGGCCTCAAACAGAGATGTGCTTTGAAGTCCCAGCAACTGGAACTTCAAAGTGCAACATCACCCAATGTCATAGTGATGTCAGGTGATTGACATCTGGACGGCCTTGCCTGTCTGTCAAACTCAGCTTGCCAAGGAGTGGAGAAATGACCATCTAGCCCACCAGTCAGAAAAGGCTCCCTACCCCCTGCTTTAGTGCCAGCTGCCTACATGTTTTAAGGTCTTTTCTGAGTAATCATGAGGACCTGAATACAGTCTGTTTTAAAAACAAGAACCAATGTACTCTAGATTCTCCAGCATATAATAGGTTCTGCATTAGAAGCAATGCACTGTTAACTACAATGCAATTATGGTGTTAAAAAAATAAAAATACCCATGATATCAAAACATGGATAGGTTTGGCTGAATCAGGAAATGGTAGTGAGACAATGAAACATTCAAATGCTCTATTACATATTCTTTGTTTTTCATTTTATACCTTTGGACGGTCAATGACTCTGATATTGGGAAAGAAAAAGTAGAAGTATTTGCATTATGTACAGATACAGAAAGGAAATCCAGCGCCCACACAAACAAAGCCGGGAGCTTGAGTTATTCACTGCTCCAACTTAAAACCACAAATTTTTACTATGAATCATCCAGTGGACACTGGACTCTTTATTAACCTAAAAGCAAAGCCACAAGGAAGTTGTGCACGAGTAATTTGAACCATCCATGGAGTGGGTCGAGACTAAGTTAGTTGAACTTAGTTCCTGTTGAAACCAATGGGTCTGAAGTTATGAATATCCTGTCCCCCTGAATTTCAGTAGGATACAAACCCAACCAAGTTCATCTGGATCCACGCCTTTATTTCTTCCTGCTTTCCTCTTTCTAGGGCCACAGTGATGAATGATGCGTAGGCTTTTAAAAACTGAATGATCAAGCTGTTTTGAGCAGCTGCTGCTGAAATCAGAGCATAGGTTCACCTAGCTGAGGACAGCCTGCTCCCAACAAGCAATGGAACTTCAAGGTCACAGACAAAGGTCATTGCTAACCTTGCTATTAGAGATTCTTCAAGTGGGTATGCTAAGACCAGGGGTGACTAACCTGTTGGCCCTTCAGATGTTGTTGGACTCTCATTCTCTTTCGCCCCAGCCAGTGATCTGGGAGAAAGATGCAGTCAGCAAGATGGAGGTGCTATGGTTTGGTGGTTCCTGGGTTTGGGGACTGGGTGACTGACTTCTTTCTGGAAGGTTTTGCCACCCCAGGTGCATAGTCTAGGTGTGCTCCTTGATTCCACCTTGTCACTGGAGGCCCAAGTAGCCACAGCAGCACAGTGCCCATTTTCTGCTCTGGCTTGTCTACCAGCTATGGCTATTCCTGAATAAGATTAGCTTAGCCACAGTGTTCCATGCACCAGGAACATGGACAATTATAATGTGCTCTCTCTGCATAGGGGCTGTCCTGTGGTACAGAATCCACCCCAAAATTGTTCTGGAAATAATTCTGTTTGTTTTTAAAGATGTGTAGCAAAATAACATTTTGGAATAAACATTTTGCCAGCACCACCACCATCATAATGGAGTCCAAGAACATATGGAGGCCCAGTGATTAGCCACTCCTGCAATACAGATTGAATGTAGGATTCTCTGAATGCAAAACATGTCCCTGATAGAATGGGAGGTAGCTAGATTGTTTAAATTCTGAGGATTTGTGTGATTTTGGTTGTATTTTGATTAATGGCCTATCACATCCACTGGATGCAAGACAGCCTCTGCTTACAAATTACAGTGGTACCTCGGGTTACATACACTTCAGGTTACATACACTTCAAGTTACAGACTCCGCTAACCCAGAAATAGTACCTCGGGTTAAGAACTTTGCTTCAGGATGAGAACAGAAATTGTGCTCCAGTGGTGCAGCGGCAGCAGGAGGCCCCATTAGCTAAAGTGGTGCTTCAGGCTAAGAACAGTTTCAGGTTAAGTACAGACCTCCGGAACGAATTAAGTACTTAACCTGAGGTACCACTGTACTAAGTAGGTGGGGCTCAAGCAGGAGACGGATAGTATGAAACCATGGGATGGGATGTCTATCTCTACATATTCCTGTAGTGTCTGGTTCATCCCTTACGGAATGATGGCATTATAACTGAGAACCATTCACAGAAATATAGACACAACAGGTAGGCTAATAACTGTTAAAGCATATATAATAGAATAATGATATCATTCCAAAAGTCTAATAGATTTATTTCTACTTTTTGGATGATATAATTATTCTATTATATATGCTTTAACAGTTATTAGCCTACCTGTTGTGTCTATATTTCTGTGATTGGCATTATAATTGAGGAGCTTTAGAAATGGAGAAATGGGGGGGGGTCCTCTTTCTACGAATAAATACAAGTTGAGACAAAATCCTCCCAAGAAGATTCTGTTTAGGGTAGACTTGATGCTCCCGTCCAGCCGTCACTGTAAAGGCAATTGTCCCGCTTCCTCAGGAGTCTACCGCCTTGGGGGTGGTCGGTAAGAATGGTCTCCACATGCAGAGATCCAAAAGGGCAAGCAAAACTAAGGGCTTTACGTTTTGTTTTTTAGAACATGGAAACAAAATTCTGTTTTAACTCGTGTATCACAACGGAGGTGTCTTTTTGGCTATGTGTATGCATCAGGTGTGTAAAAATAAACAACTTACCCAGGACATAATAGCATCCCCTGTATTTAATGCCCACCTTGTCAAGCAACTAGCTGGCCACAACATTCATGGGCTGCACTTGGTAGACTGTGAGTTGCAGAGGCCGGGTATAAATCAATTAGGAGGAAGCTTCTAGCCAGCTAAAAAGGTGCTCCTGCTGCCTTACAAACAAAGGTGGATCTTTGGTTGGAAGAAAAATAATAACGCATGAGCAGCCCCTAAAGCAGACAATAATTTTCCTGCAATTTTCCTCCCAGCGGCTTCATTGTGCTTTTTCCTTGACATATTTACAGTCATTACTTTGAAGCTTTTTGGTGCAAAGTCCATTTTACTAGCTTCAGCCCTAAATTAAACGATGGGCTGGGCTCCCAAGGACAGCATAGGATCTACCAGCTCTGAGTCTGGGCCATGGCGCCACTGTTTTTACTCTACACGGAGCACCAAAGAAGGGGTTGTGGGACACAGGAAGAATGTTCTGTTTTTATCCCCCACTCCTTCCAGGTTAAGGGGGCATTACTGAGGGTGCCTTCCTCGACACCCCCCCATCCACCCAATAAAAATATGGGCACTAGCACTGTTGGTAGGCTATGCATGGCACCAAGGGAATGAATCAAAGGGCATTGCAGAGAAGCAGCTCTTTCATGGGGCTAACAGTCTCAATTTATTCCCAAGGTACTGACTGCATCTACCTCCAGCAACAGCATGTAACCAACATGGCAGACCATGGAGAATTCTTGTCTGGTCCAGTGGCAATCCACACTGATTTAGGAATCCACGTTTTATAGAAGAGGACCGAAGGGGATGGCGAATGGGGAAATCAACTCATACGTTGCCTTTGGGGTGATTAGCAACAACGACAGCCACGTTCCAAATGCAGAAACCAAAACGTGAGAACCCAGACACGAGAAATTCTTCAACAGCCTAAGGGTTTGTGCCACATCAATTTAAACATAACATACACCAGTGAAGTATTTCCAGAAAGCAGAGCTAAGGAAATATGAGCATGATGCATGTGGCGAGAAGACAGGTTAGGCTGCATTGCATAGAATATGGCAAAAGTGCTCAGCATACTAAAATCCTATTGAAATCAAGTAAGGCTGCAGTCCACTCAGGGCTTATCCACAGTTGCCTTTTGCCCTGCACATTCCAGGCATAGGTCTGTGCTTTAAAGCTCTGTGACTGAGCACTCTTGGGTTTGTGGTGTTTTGTTTTTGTTTTTTTTTGCTCCAGAGCTTTCCCCAAGAAAACCCACTTACCGCACAACCAATGGAAATTTGGCTTTCCTGCAGATTGCTGTTTGCTCCAATTGAGCTTTAAAGAGTGAGTTTTCGCAGGGGACACTCTGAAGCAAAAATAAAATAAAATAAAGGATGCAGAGCTTTAAAGCATGGGCCATGCCTGGAATGCGCGGAGGAAAGAGAAGTGTGGAATATATCCCATTCACTAGGAATATATCCCACTGAACTGAGTGGCACACACTTCAAAACGAACATGCATGTGGCCAGGCCTCAACTGCACACAGGGGTCTTTGGATCGCATAGGAATCTAGGAACATAAGAATCACAACTATTGCTTTGTGTGGATTTGCTGCTTCTGTTGTCTACGGCAATATTTGGGCTACAAGAGCACTCTTCTTATATGAATAAGGCAGGGGGAGGGCTCCAGTTCCCGCCGCCCCACCGCCCCACCCAGCAAGAGCAATGGCTGGGGACGACAGGAGTTGTAATCAGCCAACGTCTGGAAAGCCACAGGTTCCTTATCCCCGCTGTAAGGCATGATTTCTGAAAACACCTCTGGATCACAGCGGTGGAGACTTCTGACACCATGCCGCATGGAATGGTGGGAGTTTGGACAAGATGGACAAGTATTGCATGGGCCCAAATATAGATCTCTGGGGGCTTATTCTTTCAGCAGCGCTGCTTGGCTGGTATGAACTTGTGCTTCTCTTCCAGAAACCAGGCCCTGCTTGCAAGAAATTGAAGGAGCCCAGGGTGGGGGGAATCACCGTAGAATGCTCCACCACTTTCCAAAGCAGCCAGCCTCTGAAGTAGCCAACTTGTGCGTCTGAACGGAGCAGCCTTGGCCAACCTGGTGACCTGCTGGACTGAAACTCTCAGCGGCTGAGGCTGATGGGAGTTGTAGTTCAAGACATTTGCAGGGCACTGGGTTGGCCAAGGCTGGAACAGAGGGAGCCAACTTTTCTCCCCATCCTGCTGCCTTCCAACTTGCTGGGATTCACTTTGGCAGAGGATCTTGGTTTGACCGGAACGAAAAGCAGAGTTGAGAGCTTTCTAAAGCTTTCCTTTGTTTCTAGCCAGTAACAGATATATTTGCGCAGAGCGATTTCTCTTCCCAACCAACTGGGGTCGGCAGCATTTTCCTGACGTAACAGGCACACTAGGAATAATACTTGGATCCCTCAGTCCTTTCCTTGGGGCAGAGGGAGGAAGGGAGGAGAAGGAAGGCAGCCCTGACTGCAGGATCTTTGGGCGTGGGCAGCAGGAAAGAGCCAGAGGTCAAAGGAAATGTGTCTACTTTTTCTTTACTGGACACTCCTGCTAGTTTCATTTTAACATCTAAAGCGTCACCTTTCTAGGGGAAGCAAAAGGGTTGCAGTCTCTCTCTCTCCCCCCCCCCCGCCAGTCATGTCACTGCTATTAAATTAACCCTTTACCTCATCCAAAACACTCCTACGGACATTGCCAAAGGACACCTCCCTCTGCGCAGATCCTGCTTCTGCATCTGAGGTCAACCTAGCTCAGTCCTGCTGGCCTGGGAGAGGTGGCCCTGTCTAAATAAGCCATGATGCTCTGTCCAGGAATCTTGAGTCCAGGCCAATTCCTTGCAAAGACTAGGCCTGGGCGATATTACAGATCCTGACCAGCTCCACTTTGAGCACAGGTCGGCCGGTCCTGAACTCGAGTGCATTTGGCCTTTGAAGTAACACTTTGCGCATAACCACACACTCACTCACTCTCTCTCTCACACACACACACCCTTCTTCATGCATGCCTGCAAGCGCACATACACCCGCAATGGCAGGCATGACCTCATTTAGAACCTGGAAACGGTATTCTCTAAAAAGGATTGTCTTTGGAGAGCGTCCGCAACACAGCTCCTGCCCGGCGTTGCTGCCAAGGTGCCAGTTCTGCTTCTTGACCTCTTTTGCTGTGCACTGGGGGTCCCCCGGGTTTCCCTTGTGTCCTCCTCCTCCTCCTCCTCCTCCCTCAAAGGAAGGCACAGCAGCTGCTCCTCTTCTTCTGAGACTCTATATAGTCGTGGATTTGGAACCGGGGCTCCTCTGGCTGCTTGACGGCTCGCTGCTTGAGCTCTCTGGAAGCGTAAGAGCAAAAAAACCACCACTCAGGGGCTGTTTCCACCGAAGGGTCCCTCCCTGCCCAGAGAAACGAGCAACTTGGCCTGTGGAAGCCTCGCATCAGATAAGAACAAAGGGCAATGCCTTCCACTGAGCCAGACAATTGGTCCATCGAGCTCAGTTCTGGAGGACTTGAGACGCTCTCCAGGGTTTCAGACCAGCCCTACCTGGAGGTGCCAAGGATTGCACCTGCGACCTGGGCCAGTGAGCTCGCAAGTCATCCCTTGATTTACGGATGTCAATGGCAGTCTAATAGGGCGACTGGCCACATCACTGGCACAGAGGGGTGCTGCTGCAGACCTGGCCTCCTGGCAGTGACATCACTGCTGTATACCAAGGTGTGTGTGTCTGTGTGTACAGGGAGGCAGCAGGGAGGTTGGGGTGGTTTGGACACACCGGTGGAAGTACAGGATTGGCTCCGCTGCTGTTTCTACACCTCCCTGACCTTATCCCAGCAGCGATGCTGTTGTTGGGAGGTCAGGTCTGCAGCAGTGCCCTGGCTGCTCCTGCTGTTTGGATATGCCAGGTCAACCTTCCCCATCCCAACCTGCGTCCTGCCTCATGTCGTTGGACTACAACTCCCATCATTCCTGGCCATCATTCACGTTGGCCATTCTGATGGGAGTTGGCGTCCAACAGCATCTGGGGTGCACCAGTCTGAGGAACGCTGCTCTAGACCACAGAAATGAATGCCACATCAGTCCACTTGGCCAAAACATCTCATGGCAGAACGTGATAATCTGACAGCAAGGTGGTCTGTTTCTCTCTTATTGCTACCTGCTAATTCCAGGAAGCAGAAGCAAATGGACTACAGCCTGTTACTCACTTTGCAATGGCCAGAAACGCCAGCTCCACGTTCATGCCAGTCTTCGCACTGGTCTCCATAAAAGGCACTCCATATTCCTGAGGAGAAAGTGGATAAATATTGAGGAGATCTTGCAAGCAAACCTGGTAAATCCTTGCCGCGGAGAATTCCACCCCCCGCCCTTTTATTTAATTCAATATTGTATCCGGGACATTGCTGCTGCTGCTGCTGCTGCTGCTGCTGCTGCTGCTCTGCTGAGTGTTTGGTGGGCCGCTCCCTTTTCTGCCAACTCCATCTGGCCTAGGGGGCGGAGCCTGCACTCATCACCACAGCATAAGAGGCCGGAGAGAGGCCTCCGGGACATCACTGCTGCTGCTGCTGCTCTGCTGAGTGTTTGGTGGGCCGCTCCCTTTTCTGCCAACTCCATCTGGCCTAGGGGGCGGAGCCTGCACTCATCGCCACAGCTTGAGGGCCTCCATCAAGGCCTCTGAGACACTGCTGCTGTTGCTGCCTGCGTGAGTGTTGGGAGGACTGCTCCCTCTCCTGCCAATTCCATCTGGCCTAGGGGGCGGGGCCTGCACTCACCACTACAGTTTAGAGGCCTGAGCAGCTACCTGCAGCAAGTGACAAAATGGTTTTAAATGTTTTAACTGCTTTTAATTTGCTGCACCTTAAATGGTGGTGGTTGTTTTTTATAATAGAATGGCTGGGGCAGGTTCCACAGGAGGAAATGTATTGGGACACCCGATCTCAGTGATCACGGGCCGGAGGAGGAGTTATGCTAAGACCAGACCATGTCATTACCGAGGAGGCAGGTTTAGTCGTTGGTTGAGGACTATCCCTGCCTCCAGGTCTGGTCCTGACCGGAAGGATACTGGAATCAGCAAGGGAAAGCCACATGACCTGAAAGTGTTGCTGTGCAATGCCAGGTCAATGATGAATAAAACCACTGCCATCCACGACCTGATTGTGGATGGAGGATTTGACCTGGCATGTGTGACAGAGACCTGGTTGGATGAGGCAGATGGGCCTGTCCTTGCCGCTGCTTGCCCACCAGGTTTCTCTTACGCACAGCAACCCAGGTCATGTGGGCGGGGAGGGGGGGTTGCAGTGATTTTTAGGAAGTCATTAGTCTGCACCAGGCGTCCTATTGGGAAGACCCAATTTTCTGAGTGCATGTTCTGGAAGTTGGGCAATAGGGGCAGTACAGGATTCCTATTGGTGTACCGACCTCCCCGCTGCACCAAGGATTCCCTGCCCGAGCTGCTTCAGGTCGTGGCGGATATGCTCCTGGAGACACCTAGCTTGGTTGTCCTGGGGGATTTTAACATCCATGCCGACACGACCTTACAAGGGGCCGCTCGGGACTTCGTGGAAAGCATGGCCTCCATGGGCCTGTCCCTGAATAAGTTTGGCCCAACTCATAGCCGCGGACATGCCTTAGACTTGGTGTTTACCTCTACAGATGTTGGTGATCTGACATTATCTAAAAGCGAAACAAAAGAAGTGCCATGGTCAGATCACTTCCTGGTGCAACTGGACTTCTCCGCGACCCTTCCCCTCTGCAGGGAGGTGGGACCGATTCGGATGGTCCGCCCCCGCCACTTAATGGATCCAATTGGCTTCCAGAGAGTGGTAGGGGATGTTTTATCCCAAGTTGATGGCCTCTCAGCTGATTCCCTGGTGGCCCGCTGGAATGCGGAGTTAACCAGGGCTATTGACTGTCTGGCTCCGAAGCGCCCTCTCCGATTGCATGGAGCCCGGACAGCCCCGTGGTTTTCCCCGGAGCTGAGGGTGATGAAACAATCGTTGAGACGGCTAGAGCGCCGGTGGCGGAAAACTCATTCTGAATCAGACCGGACACGGGCTAGAGCTCAACGTCGAGCCTACCAAGTGGCAATGGCGACGGCGAAGAGGGCCTTCTTCACCGCCTCCATTGCATCTGCAGAAAACAGCAGCAGGAGACTTTTTCAGGTAGTTCGCAATCTATCGGAACCACCTGCACCACCGGGGCCTGGTAGGGACCCCAAGATCTCCTGCAATGCTTTTGCAAAGTTTTTTTGCAGATAAAGTCGCTCAGATTCAGAAGGAGGTAGACTCCACCGTGGGAGCAGGGCCAGGGTGGGAGAGTGCTAGAGTTCTGTCTGGTCCTGTTACATGGGATCAATTCCAATCTGTTACCTCCGAGGATGTGGACAGGCTGCTTGGACAAGTGAAACCGACCACCTGTCTCCTGGATCCTTGCCCATCCTGGCTGATAAAAGCGAGCCGGGAAGGGCTGGGCGATGGGCTCTGCGGGGTGGTGAATGCTTCCCTCTATGAGGGAGCCTTCCCAGACCCGCTGAAAGAGGCGGTCATTAAACCGCTTCTTAAAAAAACATCTTTAGACCCAGCCAATTTGGCCAACTATCGCCCAGTCTCAAATTTACCATTCTTGGGCAAGGTGATTGAGCGGGTGGTTGCCAGACAACTCCAAGCACGCCTGGAGGATGCGGACCATTTGGATCCCTTCCAATCGGGATTCAGGCCTCACCATGGGACTGAAACTGCCTTGGTCGCGCTGGTTGATGATCTCCGGCGGGCTAGGGACAAAGGTGAGAGCTGTTTCCTAGTTCTGCTGGATCTCTCAGCGGCCTTTGACACCATCGACCATAACATCCTTCTGGACCGTCTAGAGGGGCTGGGAGCTGGGGGCACTGTTATACGGTGGTTCCGCTCCTTTCTCCTGGGCCGTGTCCAGAAAGTGGTGGTGGGGGATGAGTGTTCAGACCCCTGGGCTCTCACTTGTGGGGTGCCTCAGGGTTCCGTCCTCTCCCCCATGCTTTTTAATATCTATATGAAGCCGCTGGGAGAGATCATCAGGGGGTTTGGGCTGGGTGTTCATCAGTATGCAGATGACACCCAGCTCTACCTCTCCTTTAAATCAGAACCAGTGAAGGCGGTGAAGGTCCTGTGTGAGTGCCTGGAGGCTGTTGGAGGATGGATGGCGGCTAACAGATTGAGGCTGAATCCTGACAAGACAGAAGTACTGTTTTTGGGGGACAGGGGGCGGGCAGGTGTGGGGGATTCCCTGGTCCTGAATGGGGTAACTGTGCCCCTGAAGGACCAGGTGCGCAGCCTGGGAGTCATTTTGGACTCACAGCTGTCCATGGAGGCACAGGTTAATTCTGTGTCCAGGGCAGCTGTTTACCAGCTCCACCTGGTACGCAGGCTAAGACCCTACCTGCCCGCAGACTGTCTTGCCAGAGTGGTGCATGCTCTAGTTATCTCCCGCTTGGACTACTGCAACGCGCTCTACGTGGGGCTACCTTTGAAGGTGACCCGGAAACTGCAATTAATCCAGAATGCGGCCGCTAGACTGGTGACTGGGAGTGGCCGCTGGGACCACATAACACCAGTTCTGAGAGATCTGCATTGGCTCCCAGTACGTTTCCGAGCACAATTCAAAGTGTTGGTGCTGACCTTTAAAGCCCTAAACGGCCTCGGTCCAGTATACCTGAAGGAGCGTCTCCACCCCCATCGTTCAGCCCGGACACTGAGATCCAGCGCCGAGGGCCTTCTGGCGGTTCCCTCATTGCGAGAAGTAAGGTTACAGGGAACCAGGCAGAGGGCCTTCTCGGTAGTGGCTCCTGCCCTGTGGAACGCCCTCCCAGCAGATGTCAAAGCAATAAACAACTATTTTACTTTTAAAAGTCATCTGAAGGCAGCCCTCTTTAGGGAAGTTTTTAATGTTTGATGCTGTACTGTTTTTAATATTCAGTTGGAAGCCGCCCAGAGTGGCTGGGGAAACCCAGCCAGATGGGCGGGGTATAAATAATAAATTATTATTATTATTATTATTATCCTGCTTCCCCAACAACTCAATGGTAGCAACAACAGAATTAAAAGCTAGCAAACGTTAACAGACGCTATAGCTATATCGGCAACACACTAGTATATAAAGGCAAACGAACAAATTCGTCACACAGTTAACTCGATCCAAACATAGTGATTCAAAATATCAGAAATGATTGAACGCCAGCCCTTTGCCAGCTGCCATGCTCTGTCTGGGAAGGGGCTTCTTCAGCCAGTGCAGCAGTTGCACACTTCCAAGCAGCGAGATATTTCTTATTGTTTACTCTCGGCTTCTTTTCACCCTCAATGAGAGAAATCAGTCACTTCTATGTTGTTTCTGGAGGCAAGGGGAGGCAAGGGAACCTCCCCCCCCTCCCAAACTTTCACCTTAAAGGGTGTGGGTGTGTTTGGAAATATTGCATTTTAGTGAACTGTCTCTTTAAGAAGCTGGCTCAGCACCACAGGGTCCACACCGGCAGTCCAGTCCGAGGCACAAGTGGTTCTTGCATTAGTTCACTCACCCTGGCTAATGATTCCCCATCTTCTGTTCTTATCACTCTCTCACTGCTCACATCGGCCTGCCAACAAAAGGGAAGATATTCAAGAAGAGATAGGATCAGGAGAGTCGCCAACAGATCAAACCTCTAGGAAACTGGCTGCTCCTTGGGATCTTTTGATGGGAAGTACCCAGGTCTGCCCTCCTGGTGGATTCTATTATTTGGATAAATCAATAAATGGCAGTTGGGCATGGCCACCCCAGAAGAGTAGTGACTTCTTCACCTGAGTAGGTCTTACTTCCAACAGAAGTGTCCTCTCTGATCTTATTATCTATGGCTTTGATATACTAGACCGCCTCCCTCCCTGCAGAAACAATACAATAAGCTAGTATTACTCAAACTTAGGTCCCTCAGCTATAGTTGGACTATAACTCCCATCATCCCTAGCGGCTGGGGATGATGGGAGTTGTAGTCCAACATCAGCCGGAGACCCCGGTTTGAGAAACACTGCTAAGCACAGCGATGGCAGCCCAAGGAGGCTTCTTCTCATGCCACTGAAGTCAGGGTTAGGTCCAGTGAGCAGAGACAATTACACAGATCCCTGCCGCCCAGAGGGACAGGAGGGAAAGAAATCTAGGAATAATTCATGTGACCAGCCCAGCACACACAGTTCTTGTGGCAAGGGAAGAAGCCACTGGAAGGGGCTGCTCTGCTGCTGCTGCTGCTGCTGCTGCAATATCTGGGAGGAGTGGCTTGGCTGGGAGATGTGCCGCTGTGGACCTGACCTCTTGGCAGCGGTGCCATTGCTGGGTACAGGGATGATGTGGGGCAGGGTGGTGGCAAAGTCAGCATGGTGGAGATGAGAGCCCAGTGCCCCTGCTGGTGCAGCCAAACTTCCTGCTTCCCTGACTCCACACCATCCTGGTACCCGATAGTGATGCTGCTGCCGGGAGGCCAGGTGTGTGGTCCGCTGACATCTGGCAAGCCCGCCTGACATGCAAATGCTTGCCTAGTGCTGACTCTGCCAACAGAGGGCGATGCTGACATGAGGGCTGATGCTTCTGCTTGTTTTGAAAGATAACAGGTGCACTTCTGTGAAAAATTAACCGATAATGATAAAAGTGATTTATGTCTCCAGCACATGAGCACCTCGGCTATGTGGCACACATTATGCCCAGAGTCATTTTCGGATTGTGCCTTCGCAGAGATGGAATCCATATAGTCAGACATAGGATTTTGGCAGAACTTTGGACGTCCGTATGTTCCTTAGTGTCTTTCAGATAAAGTGAGTGATGGCCTGCTGAATAGCCACTGGTAGACGCCTCCAGTGTTGGGCGCCCTCTGCTGGTTGGTCTTGGCCAGGAAGTTTCCAAGGCCAATAGAATGCATACAAACACAACAGTAACTACATGCAAAGGTGTCTCATCTATGTTATACAGTATTCCATTTCTTGTTTCCACTCCTCTCTATACTTCATTGCATGCTTTAACCTTGTCATAAAGGGAGCTTCTGCACCCAATCCACCATCATCATCACAATTAAAATTTGTATACCTGTAGATCTCGGGGCAGTTCACGGCATTAAAATTGCAATATAAAAAGCACAAAATACATAATAAAATTAAAAACAATGATGACCCAATAATCCCCGCCCCCATCCCACAACACATTTTAAAAGGGCATTATATTAAAAAGGGCACTAAAATATCGGCCGTTTTCTATCTGTTGGTTATTTTATCTAACAACCCCTATTTATCTAATGGATTCAAGAAATGTTACATTTCGGAAGTACACTTTTAAGTCCAATTCACAAAATAATTTTGGCATGCTATCATGTGGTTTGCTGTTCCAGCAGTGATTCTTCCACCTGCCCTGAAGTCACCCTCTACTTGCTTAACTAGGAATACAGGCAGCAGAGCTACAATGTCTTCCAGAAGCACTTCTAAGTGAGAACAGGTTTATGAATGCCAGCGACAGCCATCTAACCGGAGCTGTCCCCTCTTTCAAGAGAGAAAAGGGTGATAGTTCCGTGACCTTTTCCCTCCTGTATGACTTAATCTAAATACTTACAAATCTAAAATTTCCCACTGACCAGCATCAAAGATAAGCAAAATAAGTAATAACGTTAATTTCTATACCACCCTTCACCTGAGGGTGATATAGTTTACAATACAGTGGTACCTCAGGTTACAAACGCTTCGGGTCACAAATGCTTCAGGTTACAGACTCCGCTAACCCGGAAGTAGTACCTCAGGTTAAGAACTTTACCTCAGGATGAGAACAGAAATTGCACAGCGGCAGCGGGAGGCCCCATTAGCTAAAGTGGTACCTCAGGTTAAGAACAGTTTCAGGTTAAGAATGAATTAGGAATGAATGAATGAATGAAGAATGAATTAAGTTCTTAACCAGAGGTACCACTGTATAAAAACAAAAAATGCACAATTGGGTGATTTAAAACGGTCTCCACCATCCTGGTGTCCTACATCTGTTTTGGACCACAACTGCCATCATTCCACATCAGCTCTACTTCCCAGCAGTCTTTATTATTCCACATAATAAAAATTCCCGAAAGTATCTCAATCCTTGCTCAAAATCCAAAGCCATCTTGTATGCATCTTGGTGCTGTATACATTTGGGCTCTGCACAGAAGCATGGCAGGGCCTGCATTTCACAGCCTTTTGGCTCCCACTGTTTAGAAAATTGAGTTTGGGTGTGTGTTTGTTTTTGGTGCTGTGCGATAGCTGCCAATTTAAGATGCCGCTTGATGCAATAATAATAATAATAATAATAATAATAATAATAATAATAATAATATAGTAATTTATACCCCACCCATCTGGCTGGGCTTCCCCAGCCACTTCCAACAGCTTCCAACAGAAAACTAAAATACAATAATCTATTAAACATTAAAAGCTTCCCTAAACAGGGCTGCCTTTGGATGTCTTCTAAAAGTCTGGTAGTTGTTTTCCTCTTTGACATCTGGTGGGAGGGCGTTCCACAGGGTGGGTGCTACTACCGAGAAGGCCCTCTGCCTGGCTCCTTCTAACTTGGCTTCTCACAGTGAGGGAACCGCCAGAAGGCCCTCAGCGCTGGACCTCAGTGTCTGGGCAGAACAATGGGGCTTTCACCACAACAACTTGTGCTAAATGCTACAGGGCTCTTTTATTCTTCATCTCTTACTGGATTAGATACAGAAATCTAATTGCACCTCTGCCACTGAGACTGCTGGGAAGAGCAAACACAGAGCAAGGGATGGCGGCAGAAAGGGTCCCTGTGTATGTGGAAGCAAAGAGCCTCTTCATGGTGCTTAAGAAAAGCGAGCGCTGGAGGGAGTTATCAAAAACCAAGAGGTGCCAGGATAAAGCATTCCTCCAATTATGTGCCAACCACAGAAGAAGATTGTGCAAAGCACGCTAGGAGGAGATAGCTCAGAGTCAAGGGGAAAAAGGGGGAACTATTTGCAAAGCAAGAGCAGGTCTGCATCACCTGTCAGGAAATGACACGCACCTTGTTGCCTAGTAACATAATGACCACATCCTTTTGGGCATATTCGTGTATCTCTGTAAGCCAGGCCTGTAAGAGGGATGGGGGTGGGGAAAGGGAAAGAGGCAGAAGAGAAAAAGTTTAGTGTGGTGTGTCATGTCGTGAGGCAAAGCACTGTGTTCAATAAATGAGAGCTGGAGGGAAACGAGACATGGGGCAATCGGAGTTCCATGGGGCCTTAACATTTGACATAATATCAACAGGCCACACACCCCTCATCACGGTCTATACAAAATAAAAAAAATCCTTCCAGTAGCACCTTAAAAAGTAAAGGTAAAGGGACCCCTGACCATTAGGTCCAGTCGTGGCCGACTCTGGGGTTGCGGCACTCATCTCACTTTATTGGCCAAGGGAGCTGGCGTACGGCTTCTGGGTCATGTGGCCAGCATGACTAAGCTGCTTCTGGCAACCCAGAGCAACGCACGGAAACGCCGTTTACCTTCCCGCCAGAGCGGTACCTATTTATCTACTTGCACTTTGACGTGCTTTCAAACTGTTAGGTTGGCAGGAGCAGGGACCGAGCAACGGGAGCTCACCCCGTCGCAGGGATTCGAACCGTCGACCTTCTGATCGGCAAGTCCTAGGCTCTGTGGTTTAACCCACAGCACCACCCGCATCCCAGTAGCACCTTACAGATATCTACCTGAAGATATCTGAAAAAGCGTGTATGCACACGAAAGCTCATACCAGTAACAAACCTAGTTGGTCTCTAAGGTGCTACTGGAAGGAATTTTTTTATTTTGTTTTGACTACAGCAGACCAACACGGCTACCTACCTGTAACTAGAACCATGGTCTAGAGTCTCTTAAGTGGCTGGACCACCATCATGATAAGTGGATTCAGGCTGCAATTCCATAATTGCTTACCTGGGAGTAAGCCCCATGAAACCCAGTGGGGCTTGCTTCTGATTAGACATGCATAGCTTGCACTGTTAAGCCTTTATTTTAGTCCCCTGCCTGGACCACGCAGACAGATGTGTTGAGGGAGGAGGACTTTGCTTAAAGGAGTGGGGCAAAGTAAAGTTGTCCTCAATGGCATTCCTTCATCCTAACCAATACATACAAGGGTAGTAAAGCCAATGCCATACTGTCCTATCTTACATTGTAAGACCAAGCTTGGATTTAGCCCCACTGGTGACTCCTAAGTCAAGGGGGAGGCATCTCTAGCTCACGGGCCCACCAAGGGTTCAAATTTGGCTCGCAAAGCAATTTCAAGCCACACCCACCTGCTCCACAGCTGTCATCATGTGGCTGCAATGCACAATCTGGAGCCTATTGTCCATTGGTAGGGGAAAGCAGGTAGAGGCAAAGCCTGCCGAGTTGGCTCCATGAATGAGCTCCATGCAGGGAAAACCCTAACACACCTTATGCCTGGGCTGCATGCGGTGCTTTGAAGTCCCAAAACGGGGACTTCAAAGCACCCAATCACCTTCCGTAAGGTGATTTGACCCATGATGCTGGGATCTGATAAGGATCTGGCCCCTGGAGCCAAAAAGGTTCCCCACTCTCCTGCCTGAATCCCTATACCCCACCTTCAAGCAACTCTAAGTATGTGTAATAGAAACAAATGCATATCTTTCCACTGCTTGCCCCACTATCCTTTCTCCTGTCCTCCTTCCTCAACTCCCCTATATAAAACTGAGACTGCAAGCTGCCCAATCAAGTTCCTAAAGAATTACCAGCTTTTCAACTGCAGCTATGCTTTGCTCACCCCTTTGATGTGAAGGTGATAAAGTTTTATCTCCTCGCTGTGAAAAGCTCCTGTTGTTTTCTGCACATCAAACTGTGGGGCTGATACAAAAGCAGCCTAGGCTGGGATTTCCCTTTCCTTTTCTGGCTAGCTGGCAACCCTGAGCTCTTATCTTGTTGCTTTGATGAGCAGAGGAAGGTCTGGGCAAGTCTGGATAAGCAAGGGCTGTGGGATCATGATACTTTAGCACCGGATCACGTGGTTCAAGTGCAGACGTTAAACACTCACCCGGATATTATCAAAGGACATTTTGCTGGTGATGTCATAGAGGAGGAGGAGTGCTGCAAGACAAAAAGAAAAACGTTTGTTTCCCTCCCCCCAAATGATAATGTTTCATTCCAAGTCAAACCACTGGTCCGTGTACCCCAGTATATTATATTCATTTTATAAATTTATACACCACTTCATTGTAAAAAGGTCCTCAAAGTGGTTCACAAAGAGACTCTGGGGACAGCGAACCTACCACCCTCCAGAGGTTGTCAGACTCCAGCTTCCATGAACCCCTGTCAGTGTAGCCAATCGGTCAGGTCTGATGTGGGCTGGACAGTTTCCCCACTCCTTTTTTATAATAATTTTTATTAGTTTTCAATTACAGTCCAATAATTGCCTCATCACAACAATGCCAAATGATAATACAATTACTAATACCAATCATTCATTTACCAAACTATATAATTTAGGTGTGTCCCATCCCCTGCCCCGGTGTGCTAGAATTGATGGTTTGGTGATTTTCTTTAGTTCTGTGTTCCAAAAGCTTATTAATTTCTTTTTTTAAAAATAGTTTTTATTGATTTTCTTTTCTCATAACAATTATTTAACATCATCATTTAACATCCATTTTCTGCTCTCCCTCCTCCCTGTTGACTACCCCCAACTTCCATTTCTGGTTTGTTACATCAAATGTTACATTCTGCTGCTTATCCGAAAGCTTATTAATTTCAATTACACTCCACTCAAGATAACAATCCCTTATACAACAGCTGCAATATGAACAACTTCCATTCGTATTGACACATTAAATGATTTACGAAACTACAACTGAGGCACTCAAACTAAATCTTTATTCTTCCTGTGTGTGGCAATTATTCTGTCCATCATGGACAGGGGAAATGCAAGTTCCCCACTCCTGGTATACTTTGATTGGCAGCGACTTGTCGAGGTTATCAGCCAGGGACACATTCCCAGCCTTGCTGCCTGCGATTCTTTTAATGGAAAATTACGGGGTCACATTTTACAGCCGAATTGCGAGCTGTGCCATAATAATAATAGCATTATTACTGGATTCTAGCAACGAAGAGTTGCTCTGCTAAGAATACCAGCTCCGATGCAAGACACCCAACTGGAGGACGTACCCTGTGCGTCTCTGTAGTAGGCATGAGTCACGCTTCGGAACCGCTCCTGGCCTGCCGTGTCCCAGATCTGCAACAAGGCAAAGTTGGTAAATCACAAAGAAAGACCTTCATGACATTGCATGAGCAGGAACCCCAATGCCAAGCGAGTGGCAGCGTAGCGAGAAAACACACATACACAAATGAAGCAAAACGGTAAGGAACGGAACAGAAATTTTTCACAGGTAAGGTCTGGATGGGTCCTTGCAAGGAGACGGTTCTGCTGGGTTCTATCGAGTGGAACCCTGCAGGGTTCTATGTCCTATAAAACCTGCCTATAGGGCCAGATGTACACTCAGGTAAATGAATCAAAACCAAGAAATTAAACTGAGACAGTGATGAAATTGGATGGTATGTAATCTGACCAACCTGTGGCCAGAGGCTGTTGGATTGCAGCTCCCATCACCCACAACTATTCGCCATGCTCACTGGGGCTGATCAAGGGTTGTGGGGCCCACAGGTACTTGTTTTAAAAGTTGTGTTTTATTTCTGGTCTCTGCTTCGGTCATGTTTTATACAATGTATTATTTAATATAACATTGTGATTTTCAATTGCAAAGAGAAACAGGGCTTTCCCCATGTGGTGCCCTGGCTGAGGGACACCTTAGATGAATGCAATAAAAGGTCAGTGGGCAGAGAATAATATATTAGGAATCATTGGGTACCCAAACAACGACATAATGAGAATTCATAAAACAATAATACACATAAATGGCTAACACGGAGGCTGAACTCCGGCAGGGACAAACACCAACCCACGTACATGCCGAAATCCCTCTACCTTACTTGGAAGAAGTTCAGGTGATACGCAACATCAGTTCAAGAGACCTACCTGCAGTTTCACCTTCACCCCATCCACGGTCACCACTTTGTTCTGAAAGAAAAAAAATTAATAAAAATAAAACCACACTAGTGTACAAAGCGGAATTAATGGCAGGAACTGGAAAGTCTGCTCTGCTTTTGCCTTTAGACACAGGAATCCTTACAGATGCACCTAATGGTCATCAGAAGGGGAGTTGCTCCAGGCTAGATACCAGTTTTCAAAAGTTTAAAAGACAGATAAATGTTTCACAGGAACAGACACAGTGACTCTAATCACTACACCACACTGACTCTCTGGCGGTTATTGCTTTGATTGGCTGGGAGGTTTGATCAGCAGGGTGAATCTTGCCACTAGCAGCGCCCCCATTGTTCAGTGCCCCATTGAATGACCTTGCTATGGTATAAGGCAACTGAGTTGCATTCTTCCCATTAAGCACAGGACCAACACTATGAAGAACAGGCTAACCGTCTCAGTCATTACCGTTATCCAAAGTCCACCAGTTGTCATTTCTTATAAACTTAGGAATGGGGAGCCTTTGCCCTTCCAGATACTCACTGGCCATTGGCCATGCTGGTTGAGGCTCATGGGATTTGTAGTCCAACAACATCCTGAAGGCTGCAAGTTCCCCATCACACTTATAAACGTTAGGGAAGTGTAAAGGTAAAGGTAAAGGGACCCCTGACCATTAGGTCCAGTCGTGACCGACTCTGGGGTTGCGGCGCTCATCTTGCTTTATTGGCCGAGGGAGCCAGCGTTTGTCCGCAGACAGCTTCTGGGTCATGTGGCCATATGACTAAGCCACTTCTGGTGAACCAGAGCAGCGCATGGAAACGCCGTTTACCTTCCTGCCGGAGCGGTACCTATTTATCTACTTGCACTTTGACGTGCTTTCGAACTGCTAGGTTGGCAGGAGCAGGGACCAAGCAACAGGAGCTCACCCCGTCAAGGGGATTCGAACTGCCGACCTTCTGATCGGCAAGTCCTAGGCTCTGTGGTTTAACCCACAGCGCCACCTGTGTCCCTAGGGAAGTGTAGAACAATGCATTAACCCCAACACATTAACCCAGTTAATATCAATTGCTTCCATCAAACTACTGTTGGTGCTTATTTGTAACTACTGAGGATGGGAAGAATCTGCTAAAAAAAACAGTAGAATCATAGGAGAGTTGGAAGCTCTCTGAGGGATATTAGTCCAACCCCCTGCAATGTAGGAATCTCAACACAAGGTCCCCCATCCAGTTTGAAACCACACTAGACTCTGCTTAGCAGTTTTATTGCTGCGCCACTAGTCATGCTGTGTGAAAAGTATCTTGCAAATTTGATGGGTGGAATAAACTGGCATATGGCACATCCTAGAAGGGGCCATATAAACAGAAAGTCTCACATCCAGGCCACCTATTCTGGGGGAGAGGAATGCCCAGATTCCTGGTGCCTGATACCAACGCATTGAGATCTGGAGTCAGGAGGATACATTACTGTGCAATGGAAACAAGCCAGCGAGCAAATCTGATCAGTTTATCTGCAGATGAACGGCACATTTGCTCGCCTGCCACTGTCGCCTTAACTGAGGCTATGATCAGGAAACCGCTCTGCCATTTGGTGTGGGAACCATTCTACACAGCTACCCCAGCTACATCGTTCCCAGTGGCCCTGGGTGAACCAGATCCACTCTGGCCCAGATGAGCAGCAGCCACTGAGAACAATGCAGTCCTGCACCGGAAAAGCTCAGTGAGAACATTCTCCGTAGTCATCGGAAATAATAGAAGCAAACCATTAGGGCTCAGCATGCTGCTTTAAGTGGTTCTCGAGTCCTGTAAGAGATGTTTGGTCACAAGGTATTCTCCGCTTTCTCTTTCTTGCATTAACAATGATCCATGATATAAGGCCACCCATAGATTCCCCTCTGCGTCGCCCGCATTAGGGTTACAAGGCAAATCTGGGGCTGACAATCATCTTCTAAAATACAGCTCCTTCTCTATAACATGATAGATCCAGACGCTTGCAGTCTTGCACTGCATATTATAGTCACGTGCTATTGGAAAGCAGCCATAGATTAGGTAGACAGGGCCTGACTTCATGTTATGGGGACTGATGCAACCCCAGCCTCATCCAAGCAGAAATTCACGGTGACATTTGCTAAATGAGTCTCACATTTCTTTTACCCAACGCTCCTGGAGAGTTGCATGGGAGTCCGCAACAGCCACACATCCTCCGTGGCACAGATTTAGCCCCCAGAGCATGGCGTGAAAAGATCTCCCCCTACTTAAGTGGAATCAGAACCCGAACATTGTTCAGGGCGTGAAGTAGCACCCAGACACCTTTCCAAATCACTGTCTCTTCTTTGGGCTCATCCACACTTCTGCTTGCTCCAGATGCAAAGGCAAAAACTGCTTGGACCCAAGTCTAGGAAGCACAGGAGCAAAAAACTGCTTAGACTCATGCCTTCTAGGCATGAGAGAAGTGGAAGTGTGAAGCCTTGCAAGGCCAACATTACGGATGACTCCGATATCTCATTCCTCATAATGCGTTTCACAAAATGTGGAGACGGGACATTGCTCAGTGGCTGAGCATCTGCCTCGCGTGCAGAAGGTCTTGGGTTCAATCCCCGACATCTCCCCTGCCTGAACGCGCCCCCCTCCACAAGAGCAGCAGCCAGTCACTGTAGACAAGACTGAGCTATATGGGCCAACCGTTTGATTCAGTACTGTCATACCTCTTGTTAATAATAATAATAATAATAATAATAATTTATTATTTATACCCCGCCCATCTGGCTGGGTTTCCCCAGCCACTCTGGGCGGCTTCCAACTGAATATTAAAAACAGTACAGCATCAAACATTAAAAACTTCCCTAAAGAGAGCTGCTAGTTGATAGTTGTTTATTGCTTTGACATCTGATGGGAGGGCGTTCCACAGGGCGGGCGCCACTACCGAAAAGGCCCTCTGCCTGGTTCCCTGTAACCTTACTTCTTGCAATGAGGGAACCGCCAGAAGGCCCTCGGCGCTGGATCTCAGTGTCCGGGCTGAACGATGGGGGTGGAGACGCTCCTTCATATATACTGGACCGAGGCCGTTTAGGGCTTTAAAGGTCAGCACCAACACTTTGAATTGTGCTCGGAAACGTACTGGGAGCCAATGCAGATCTCTCAGAACCGGTGTTATGTGGTCCCGGCGGCCACTCCCAGTCACCAGTCTAGCTGTTACGTTTGCTTCAGGTTAAATCTTTTCAGGTTGCGTCCCACAGCGACCCAGAAGTAACGGAATGGGTTACTTCCGGGTTTCGCCGCTCGCGCATGTGCAGATGCTCAAAATGATGTCACGCGCATACACAGAAGTGGCAAATCGCGACGCGCAGACACGGGTTGCGTTCTGCTCAGGTTGCGAACGGGGCTCCGGAACGGGTCCTGTTCGCAACCAGAGTTACCACTGTACAGTGATACCTCGGGTTACAAATGCTTTGGGTTACAAACGCTTCAGGCTACAGACTCTGCTAACCCAGAAATAGTACCTTGGGTTAAGAACTTTACCTCAGGATGAGAACAGAAATTGCGCGGCAACAGCGGGAAACCCCATTAGCTAAAGTGGTACCTCAGGTTGAGAACGGTTTCAGGTTAAGAACGGACCTCCAGAATGAATTAAGTTCTTAACCCGAGGTACCACTGTAGAAGGCACCTTTGTTATGTTCTACGTTTCTATACCAAATTATGCATCCAAAGAATGCCGAGATAATACAAACCGATGATACCAATCCTGGGAGAAGTGAGAATGATGAGAAACAGCACATCTAAGACTAGCTAGTTCAGGCAACATTTCCATTCAGTACCTTCGTCTTCACAAAAACAGGAATTTCCTGAGGAATGGTAATGGGAAGCACCCCCCTAGTCATCATATGCATGGGAATAGCCAGGATGCTGCTGCCACTGCCCAGGACTCCCTGCTGGGAGCCTGAAGGGCCCTGCCCTGCCTCTCTCCACCCGGCTTGGGGTGGGGCCTGACAGGCTCCATGAAGGACTGCTGCTGCTCGACAGAGAGGGCTCCTTTAGATCCATTAGAGGCACCAGAACAAGGTACAGGAATCCCGTGCCATGTGGAATAGGACAAATGCATGGCTCGCTCATGCAATATTTAGGCATGCCCTGTTCTCATCTCAAGACTGAGCTCCACATTGTGTTAATTGTGTGGCTTGCAGCCATGTGTCAGGGAATTTAAAGCAACAACAACATTTTGAGTCTAGGTGCAGGGGCTTCAACATTCCATTGGAACTGCAACATAGAGCAGGGGTCAGCAAACTTACCGTGCCTCAGGCTGGTGTCTCCAGCACCGATTGCACGGCGGGTCGGAGCGTGTGCCCATACACGTGCGCACATGCTATTTCTGGTCTAATTCCGGGTTGGATGAGGACCAGAAATAGATTGTGCGCATGTGCATGGGCCTCCTCCGACCTGGATGTGCACAGGAAATAACGCTTGCACATGTGCAAATAAGGCTTGTACATGTGGAAATAAGGCTTGCACATGCACACAAGCTATTTCCAGTGCTCCTCTGACCCGTGCAGCGCAGTGCCGGTAAGAGCGGGCAGAAGCAGTGGGTGGTGGGGGTCGCCGCGGGCCGGATAAACAAGTCCCTCAGGCCTTATCCGGCCTGTGGGCCTTATTTTGGGGACCCCTGACATAGAGGGAACGGGGTGTTTCCTCCCCTGCTACTATCCTAGTGGAAACCCCCTCCCTGCTCTGCAGTTGGTCCTAATGGGAGCTATGCATTCCCATCACTACCAGCAGTGCGTATGGCAGAGGGGTGGCGGTAGCAATTTTAATTGGGATCACAGCTGAGGAGGAAAGGGTTAGAGAACCCCTCCCTGCATGCTACAACCCCAATCACATAAGATTACATTTTTTAGAAAAATCTATGCAATTAACATAATCTCAGTAGGGGCAGCCATTCCCTGCGCTGTAACAGAAGCATCTCTCTGCATTCGTTGGCAGCTGTAGTGCTCTCACCCGGAAGTCTATGCCGACAGTGGCTATGAAGGTCCCAGAGAGGAAGGCCCCGTC